CTATGTGTAGCTACCAGTATATTTCCCTTCACTGGACCTGAGTCCGCACAATTAATGCCAACGCTAAAAGATAATACACATAGCTGTACTTTTAACTAACTATGTTACAATCCAACTCATTTTTAGGTTGAGCCTACCTTTAGTTCACTGGCTAGTAAGGAGTTACTTAAGTCATCTGCCTTTTTTCTAAACTCATGCTCTCTCTTGCGCAGAGCATCATCAAACCCTGCCATTAGTTCCTGTCTCTGTGACTCCACATCTTCTTCAGCTGCCCTGCAAGTAATGGGATAACTCATCAAAACAAACCTTCAAAATGTATTTGTGAAAAAAACCAACAGTAAACTGTAACAGTTAAGAACTGCAATTGATACTTGACAATGCTTGTACAGATGAGAGTTATGTTCAGTTCTTTAATGTTGAGTTTTTTTTTGTGTGTGTTGCTGTAATATTGGCGAAGGAAGTGGTTCAAAAACTCTGCTTGTTAAATGAATTTCTTTCCTCAGTTTTTGCCTACTGTCCACACTAAGCTTGAAAAATAATACATTGTACCTCAGCTGAATCTGTAATTCTCTTTTGAAAGACTCAAACTCTCCTCGCTCTTTGTTGACCTCATTCTCTTTGACAAGCCTAAACTGGTTCAATTCCTGTTGGTGTTCTCTCAAGCGCTGTCAAAAAAGGTTTTACATACATGTACATGAACACTGTAAGTTGTCTAAAGCCAACATCCTGTTTAATTTTATCTGAGTCATGCTACAGTTGTATTTTAAGCACTCCCTCGTGAAAAATTAACAATTTGGATCTCGCATAAATTTGTTTTATTTGAAACTATTCTGAATTTTAGTATACATGTAATTATGGCTAAAATTGGCGAAAAGACGTGGATCACGGAGATCCTTCCTGCTGTAACTGACCCGTACTGAGCTCCTCAATAGTTCATTCCATGATCCTTTGCTGACTGCTGCCCAACTGTCTCTGGGCCATGCATTTTATGATATGGCTGTTTCGGTCCAAGCATTACTGACTGATGCAACCAGGGTTCTATCTAGGATTTATCGCTTGGGGGAGAAGTCCGGAGTGGCCGAAGGCTACGAGCTTCCTAGCGGGGTCCGGGGGAATGACCCCCCCCAGAAAATTTTTTAAATGAATATGTGCTGAGATGCAATCTGGTGCATTTTGAGAAATATTACAATGTGTGCACTGACCTCGTCGGGTCTGGATGATTTTTCCGATATAGTTACTTATATATTGTAATTATAGCAATATTTTTGAGGGGGAAGCTGAGCATTTTGCGGGGGAAACTTCTACCCCTCAAATACCCTAGATAGAACCCTGGCAACGAATTTAAACAAAATACAAATGTACAGACCCGTGAACACAGTGTTTCTCTATTGCAGTGTTCTCCCTAGGTACTTAAGCAGTGCCGAATCCAGACCTTGAGATAAGGGGCGGGGGGGGGAGCCGGTCTCCAAAAAATTTTTTGGGTCTAAAAATAAGGGGGAGGAGGCTGGGCCCCCGGGGTCCCTCCCCTGGATCTGCCACTGTTAAGGCTAGGTGGACCGTCTGGCTTTATTCACTGGAAAATTGTTGCTGCCTTGCTTAAATACCAAAGATTTAACTGAATGGAAGCTTATGTTGACATTTAGAGCTACAGTCTCAGTCAAAATGGTTGGGACACTTTGGGGTCTCCTTGTCCCCTCAATGTTGGTGTACAAGATTTGGTGACCAAACCGCGATAAACAACTTTGAGAGGGACGAGGGGAGCACGAGAAGGGAAAAAACAGCGTTTGGTTAAAGTGTCCCAACTATTTTTGTCTGAGACTGTGTCAGGGAGGAATTTGAAGGCATGTTGACAGATACAGAGGTTAATCTGTAGGTCGGTCACAAGCGACGGGCTTTTTGTTTGTTGGGTATCCATTGTGTTTCGCGAACGTTTCTATAGCAGTGAACTAAGTTATTTGGGCATAACAACATAACACAAAGAATGACCAGTTCGCAGAAATTTCGTGGGCAGAGTAGAGTATTGTAAAATAAAAGGAACTGAGTGTGCACTAAACCGTACACAAATAGCTTTCTAGTGGCCGATTGATAGCGTGACAGTATAGCACGTGCATACTATCTACGTAAGATTCAGGGTTTTCATATACAGAGAGGTGCTCGAATGTGCCACATTTCTAAAACAAAATGTGTGGAGCATAATAGAGAAGGCCTCTTTGCCAAGAAAGAGTGTAGGAACAAGGCTCAAAGGGACGCATTTCGAACTTAAGGGCAAGAGGCGAAAGACTGCTGAAAGAGCAATGAAGCGATTTCGAGAGAAAGGGGGAAACTTTTCCTCAGTTTGGAGGAACATGCAACAAGCCAGGATTANAATCGGACTTTTTCGTTGGAGAGCTGCCTCTCTTTTTCCTTCAGAGCACTTTGCAGCGATTTGATCTGGAGTTCTTGCGCTTCTCTCCACTCGTTTTCTTTCTGTTGAACGAGTTCCTGCAAAGTGGCCGTCTCGAAGCCAGCCATGAATGAAAACTTTCAATGTCTAGCACAGTGATTGTGACATCTGTAGCACTTACATTCGCACGAGGGATCATAGTAATAAATGAGATTGTTAGGAGCTACATAACAGCTATGATATCTCCAGCTGAACCCAACAAAATTCTTAAAAAGGAAAAACCATGGACACAGACTGTCAAATGAAAACTGCCGCCATTGCTATTATTCACCCCAGACCTCCCAGCCACGCGGCCAAAAGAGAGGCGGTGTCACAGCGTTTTGGGCATCCCCGCGTTTTGGGCATCCCCATTCCCATATCCCTAGCGTTTTGGGCATCCCTTTCTCATATTACTGCAGCGTTTTGGGCATCCCCCGGTACCCTCCCGGGATGCCCAAATCCCTAGTGTTTTGGTCATCCCCTCCAAAAAATTGCTGGATTTCGCGGGAAAATCGAAAACGTTTTAGAGATGGCTTCCGCTAAATAAAGAAATCTTTTCCAGTATCTTAAAAAGAAGGCTTATCCGGAAGGCTTTACAAAGCAAAAAACGACTCTGCGAAAATTCGCCAAAAAGATCGAATATGACTCAAAATTAGAGTCCTTGTTCTACGTGGCCAAGGAGAAGGATGGCACAGCGCTTCGACGACTTGTTATCACCGAGGAAGAGAAAGCGAGGGTATTCGAAGAGTGCCACTCTGCTCCTTTCTCTGGACTCGCTGGCCGCGATAATACTTTTGCACCCTGTGAAGGTTGTTCCCAAGGTGTGGTACTTGGTCGGAATTGATTTAATAGAAGCCCCTACTACGTCTCAAAACGGCAACAGATTTCTTCTGTCTCTTAGGTGCAAGAGGCCTCTGTATAAATTGTGTGACAACCTTTCGTGAGTCAAGTAGCGCTGCGGGGTTAAGTTGTACAGGCCTCAAATGTCATGCAGGCTATGAATTCAACACCGCAAAACGCAGTTTTATTCATGTTTGTCTTTTGATTGCTTTGTTTAGTATTCTTGTTTTTGGCTGTTTGGAATCAGGCGATCGCAGCTGCCGGCGATTGCGGCATTGCTCGCTTGTAAACAGTTCTGTTAAATAAAATTGAAGCTTTGCAAACAATGAAGCGTTGTACAGCGAAGCGATGTTATGCAGTTGTAAATTTCAGTTTCGTCTTGTTTTGAGCCAACGTTTACTGCCTATAGGGTTTTTTTCTGCGCAATAAACCCGGCGAAAAGTGTCAGACGACATAATTCTAGCATGCATCTACACTATTCAGCCGTAAATTCGTGATTAACGATCCCGACTTTTCCCCAGTCTGAAATAATTTAGGCAAAGTCGAAGCGATCAGCGTTTTGGGCATCCCCCACCGGGGATGCCCAAAACGGTAGGGATATGGGAATGGGGATGCCCAAAACGCGGGGATGCCCAAAACGCTGTGACAGCGGCCTCGTTCCCAAGGTCTCGCTTCTTATGGTCGACCCTAACGTGAGGGTCTAAATGGGGTGGTGTCTTTTACGATTATCGGCTAAAGATTTGGCTCTTTTACGGCTATCGGTTAATTTTTTTCAGTTACGGTTAAAAAGAGTTAAAAATCAATTTCCTTTGTTTTAAAGAGTTACATGTAAATAGTAATAAACCTATATTTAAAGTTCTTAGAATCATCTCCGGATGAAATTAGTTATTCTTTTGAAAAGTTTTAATATTTGATAGATCATACTTTTAAAGTACAGTCGAACCTCCATGTGCGATCACCTCTCGTAAGTAACCACCTCCCATAAGCGACCGCCAATCCAAAACACCAACATTTTCCCAGTCAAAGCCTTACAGTTGAAACTTCTAGTAAACGACCACCTCCTGTAAGCGACTAAGACCACTTTTTGGGCCTAAAAGTTTAATTATTTCCCAATGTTTTTAACCTCTTGTAAGTAACCACTTGACACATTCTCTGATCTCTGTGTTCGCTGTGTGCACTATGCTACTTATTAGAATATACGAAGAACTTTAGTGACAACATGGAACTACACATGGCGTCACTTAGAAATTGCATTCAATAAATTGTCTTCTTAAAGTAGATGTGCCCGGACCTTTCCTCGGAAGAGGCCTTCCGTGGTTCCTTCCGTAAGGCCGTGAGCGACCACTAAGTCTTTGCATTTTTGGTGGTCGCTTACGGAAGGTTCGACTGTTTTCCAATTTTAATATTACTTTAGGCACAGAAATGTTAACTACGAAAAAGAAGATCAAGCTGTTTGTCTTCTTTTGCATCTTGGCTTGATTTCCTTTAATTTGGTGCTACTGATTCGTTGTTGGCGTTGATTTTTTGCCATGCACCCTCTCCTCTTTTTACTCAGTATACGTACCAGGATAGGGTTTTTACCCCACTGAAGAAGAGACTACAGGTACAACATGAACTGAAAAACGACGAGCAAATAGCTCGAGAACTCAAATTAAGAACATTTCTGTGTGACTCTCACATTTACAAGTGCCTGAGCCTAGCTGAGGAGTATCGCTTTGAAGATCTTTGAATATAAGAGTTTTCTCATTCTCTTAAAATGATATGCGCTCTCTGTTTATAAAATCAAATGAAAAAAGTTTAAGCCATTGTCAGTCAAGGAGGGGGGCATTGAGGTCTATAAAAAAACGAAAACCGCTCTAATAATTACCCTAAACCGAAAAACCGCGATAGATCGATCACAACCGAAAACCGAATACAAAACCATCACAATCGAAGATTTATACAGCTCAATTTTTAAAACGGCCCAGTGACCGGCATTATTTCTGCAGGCAGACAAAACTTTTTTAGTTTCGCTGTTCCCGTGCTTCTTTCGCTTCTCGTTCGCTTTTTCCGCTCATCTACACTGACCGAGAGCCTGGCACAGCCTACTGTAAACCTCAACGAAAAATCCAGAATCCCACATTGCAATTTGACCTGGACTGACAGTAAAATAGAAACATATAAAATAGCCTAACATCCAGACTGCGGAGAGACTCAGAGGGGAATCTAACCTGCTTTATTTTTGCCAAAAAACCGAAAAATCGGAAACCACAACGGCCAACAAAACCTAAAAACCGAAGTTTTTCAGTACAAAAACCGAAAAACCGAACTAAAAAAACCGAAAATCCCAACGTCACCCTCGTAAGGGATGAAAAGGATCATTCCTGAAAACAGACATAACAGTTCATTTAAAAAGATCGTGAAAAAGCAAAAGCAGACGCGCTAGCGTACGGAGTCAAAGTAGCCGCGAAAAAAAGAAACGCAACCGGTCATAGGTGAGTTTAGCACCTTCCTTAAAATTAACAAATCTAGCTATGAAACAAATGCTTTTTTACGGTTAACTCTTTTAACCCTAATTACGGCTAACGGTTAAAATTTTTCAATTTTTACGGCTATCGACTAAATTTTTGGCCGTTTTACGCCTATCGGTTAACCCCGTTGAGACCCTCAGTATAGATTCTCGCAAGACTTTTATAAATTCTGCTTCTGGCTTACTTACTATTCATTTAGAGATCATTTTACTACAAATGGATTTGCGGCTTCTGGGATTGATCGTCATTTTAAGTACGGTGACTCTTACAGTTGTACGTTCATCAACTGCTTCAACAACAGTAGCAACTACTTCAAAAACAGAAGCGACTTCTCCATCACAATCTGAATCACCATCAACTTCCGGGCCAGTTTCACTGTCCTCCTCCTCCAATACGTCCTCCTCGGTCAATCCAAGCTCATCAGCAGTTCCTTTGAAAAACCCATCATCAACATCAATTCCTATGATAACCCCGAGCTCATCAGTGGCTACAACTACTGCAAAACCGGTTGTTTTGCCACCGTCATCATCGTTTACATCAGCAGCAGCACATACAACAAGCGAGGATGGTTCTCAGTCTGTGTCACCTACCACACTATCGCAGGTAAAGCTATAATCTTAAATTTCATTATTTCGTTTTATCAAAAGGGCGTAGCTAGCGGGTCCTGGGGTGCCTGTGACTCCCCCTTTATGAGAGAATTGTTTTATGTCCCTATAATACAGGTAATGAAAACGTGTGAATCCAAAGAATCAACATCCAATAAATCTTTTCCTGCTATTTTATAGCCTTGTCCCTCTCCCACGCTCACTGCTCATACCCTGAAAAATGTCACNTCCTTTGAAAAACCCATCATCAACATCAATTCCTATGATAACCCCGAGCTCATCAGTGGCTACAACTACTGCAAAACCGGTTGTTTTGCCACCGTCATCATCGTTTACATCAGCAGCAGCACATACAACAAGCGAGGATGGTTCTCAGTCTGTGTCACCTACCACACTATCGCAGGTAAAGCTATAATCTTAAATTTCATTATTTCGTTTTATCAAAAGGGCGTAGCTAGCGGGTCCTGGGGTGCCTGTGACTCCCCCTTTATGAGATAATTGTTTTATGTCCCTATAATACAGGTAATGAAAACGTGTGAATCCAAAGAATCAACATCCAATAAATCTTTTCCTGCTATTTTATAGCCTTGTCCCTCTCCCACGCTCACTGCTCATACCCTGAAAAATGTCACTTTAAGTAAACGACGATAGACTTTCTCAAAGTCCTTCCCTTCTCGTTTCTGCTTCCGGTAACTACCTCACACTTTGCGCTCGAGAAACATTTTGAGCTCTACTTGTGGGCAAGTCTATAAAACACGGGGTAGATGTCGACATGCCAATCAAGTAAGTACCCTGGGTGTGAAACAGTGTGCACCCCCGTCCCCCTTTGAAAAATCCTAGCCACGCCCATGTATCATGTTTTTGTATAAACAACTCATGGAAGACAAGACCTCAAATGAAGGCTGGAGTTGGTCAGGCAAAATAATAGAGAGTTAAAGCAGCAACGTTTTTATGCGACGCACGTCAACCGGAAGTGGACATGTTACACTCTTGAGCCGTGATTTTGGACAAATTTTTTTTGCAAATCGTCTCTATAAGAGCAAAGAAACTTAGTAATACAAACTTGGTAGCTTCAAAGTATTTTAAAAGAGAAAAAGGCTCACTTCCGGTTGACGTGTGTCGCTCAAAAACGTCGTTGCTTAAATTCCCAAGTAATATAAAAGGGTTCTCTTGAAGGGGAAACAGGGCATGGGTGCCCACCTGGGGAACACCGATGACACGCGCAAGAGCATTTCCTTCCCCACAATGTGGCCGAGGTTTAAGTCCCGGCATCGACGCCATATGTGGGTTGAGTTTGTTGACGGTTCTCTCCCTTCCGCCGAGAGGTTTTTCAGCGGGCACTTTGGTTTTTCCCTCTCCTTAAAAACCAGATTTTCCGATCTGGAAAGTGTCTCTAGCAAGTTTTAGCAATAATAATGTGCTTCGTCAGTTACCCTCGGCAGTATTTTATAGCAGTGACGCTAGTGAGGCTGAGCAAGTGCCTGAAACAAATAATTCAAATGAAAATCAACGGGGTTAAGAATCCGCCCAACTGGCCGGAGGCAATCCAGTTGGCTATTTACAAGCGTGGTCGAGGATTTGATCTCGGGATTACCGTGAACAAATCATGACAAATCCAGCTGGCGGTCAGGGCAGGACTTTACTCGGGGCCCCCGAATCGCAAGTCCAGCGCTCTAACCGCTCGGCCATGCAACCTCCTTAGTGGGATCACTTAGAGGGTCATAGATTTATCAAAAGGTTGGTTTATCACTTCTTGATGTTTTCAAGTGTCACCCTTCCTAAATAACGTTATTTGTTACCTTTTTCGGTCTTTAGACGCGGTTTGGCCGTCCATATTCTATAAATTTAGTCTTAGGAATATTATTAAACCAACAACACCATCTCTATTTCACAGACCATTCAAGGCACCAAAGTTCTATCGAACACTACGCCGAGCTCTTCGGTGAAAATAAGTGTCACGACGAAGGCCGAAATTTCTCCATCTGCCCATTCTCCGGGGAGAAACACGTCAAAGTCTGTTACCCAGCAACAGCATAACGACCATAACTCATCAATCGGAGGAACCACAAGCCACATTTCGCCCCCCCGTCAGAGTGATTCCCTCATAAGCAGTGCTTCGTTAGGAGTGAGCAGTCAACCTGGTCCTTCCTCAGTAAGCCTAACATTAACAGCGAGTTCGAGTGTTCATCAAGACCCTAGTTCAACTGTTGCTGCCACAACTATGAGCTCTGCACCCACAACTCAGGCTCTGATACCTTCAACTTCACGTACGTTTGCGTTTTTACCTCACGGTTTTTGGGGGGCTTTGATCTACATTTGCAGTTAATTTTTAGTATCAATGATCGGTTTCCAAAGCAAATCATCACTTGTAGCATGCTCACAACAACCTTTATTTTCTTTATAAAGATCGTCGAGCGCGCGTATAAAAACAAAAACGGCGGGAGATTTATACACCGCACCGCTCTCTCGGGTTTGTTCGCGCTCTGTTGAATTGTCGAAAAAAGAAAAATGTCTGTGGCCAGCTTGAATCACTTGTTCCTAGACCAAAATTATATGAATTCCCTCTTCCGAGATTTCCATGCCCTATTCGAAACTAGACTGCTCAACAACCACAGCCTTCACAGCAGAAAAAAACGTATCTCTTACATATTAGCGTACCCCCTCCTAAAATCATGATCCACATATTTTTCATAAAATGTTGTTCTTCTTTTTCGGCGTCATTTAACTGTACGGAATTAACCGTTTTTGAGAAAGATTGCAGTGACACTTGTTCTAATGTGGGTGGTCAGGTTGAAGCAACTGAGTGGTGTCCCTCTTACTCTACAGTTCCCGCCAATCGCATATCGAAGCGAACCAAAAAGGTTAACTGCAAAGAATATTGTTCAGCTAAACTAGCAGAACTGGACGATTTAGATAAATATTGCTAAGCTACATTTAGCTTTTGTGAATCTATAGAAACAGCTGTGTTGACGTCCATCCCTCCGTTCTAACCTCAAAAATAACATTAGTCGTCGATGTTAATTTCTAGGGGCGTTCCTTCAAAAATTCGCAGATTTAGTGCGGAAGCTCTTCGGAAATCTACAGAATTCTTGTAAAATCCAGACATATTTCGAAGTCTTCGGGTCAGCTCTCCGAAGCTGACTCGTCCCCAGTCATCTCTGCTGAAGCTCTTCCTAGTGGCGCGCATCACCCCCTCCTACCGTCGAGCGCATAACGAGTCAGCCTCCGAAGAGTTAAAGATACCTCCAGTCAACTTTGGATATGTCACTTTGACAATTATAGATAGCGATCTAAAAGTTAATAGCTTCTTTTAACGATGGCAGGCTCACTTTATCGCAACACAGGTGATGAAGCTAAATCATTGTGTTTTACCCCCTCTTCCCGACCTTCCAGTGGGAAGAGGGGGGGGGGGTACTTGGGTTAATGTTTGCTGGGTATGTGCCGCTGGCCTCTCAGAGCCCCTACCCCATTATAGTCTATTTTTGGACCAATCATTGACCCCATCTTAGTCACGTTTTAGAAAATGTAATTTTCGCTATCTCAACTTAGTCACTTTCTATTTATGCATCTCCTTTATCAAGAACGGAATGAAATGCGGTCACTGCGAGCTTATTGTTAAATTTAATAAACTACAACTTTCTGATTTTTTTAACCGAGAATCTTCCCATTTTGAATCCCTACTTACCCCCAAAATCCAAAAATTTGCGACCCCATTCTAGTAACTCTATTGAAAATGCGACCTCATTAGTCACCTCAGTCGTGAAAATGCGACCCCATCCAACGGCACATCCCCATTAGCCTATTGCAAGGGAGTACCCCCCCGGGTCCCCGATGTAGTACCACTGTTTTCGTTTTCAGCCTGACTTGCAGCACAGGCAGCAAAGTAGCAATTGTGACGAAATGTCTCTTTTGCTTGTATTCACAGGCACAGCAGCTTTCAGAAGCCTTCTCTCGACTGTTATTGTTGGCATCCTCCTTTTTATGTAAGCTAAACTTAACCAGATTTTTAATGAAAAAAAAAAAAAAAAAACTTCTAGAGAAGTTTACCGAATGCGGAGTATCAGCAGCGAATCTAAGGTTAAGACCTGAGGGTATGGTGGAGTCTGGACCACCTCCCCCGGCTCCCCACACCCCGCTCAATAGAATAGACCTACTTAACTTTTATTATTATTCATTCAAAATTTTTTTCCCGATTCTGATTGGCTAAAAGCACTCGTTTAATTCACCATAACCAGTTACTGATGACCAAATTTGGAAGAATTTTGTGTTTAACGAGGAAATGACGTCAGAAATGCAGTGTTTTCGCAGGTTAAGGCACTGTTAACCGAGAAGACCTGGGGACGAGGTTGAGTTGTTTTGATTGTGAACTTGAAAAATGGCGGACATTTCACTCGTTTCAAGAGTAAGAATTAGGCGAAAACATAGCTAAAAACATGGCAAGAGCAGCAAGAAGACAACTCGAAGGGCGACATCTGCTATTTGGAGAATATTTGCAGAGTTGGACAAACCTAAACGTGCACTATCGAAGATGAACATAACATCGATGGATCGATGGAGGTTAGCATGTTTTAGCCATGTTTTTAGAGTAGGAATTATTTTGAATGAATAATAAAACAATTATTGAACTCGGCTTTCGTATCATATGAAGAATTATGGAGATCTCGGAGAGTGTTATCCGCCTCGGCCTACGGCCTCGACGGATAACACCCTCCTCGATCTCCATAATTCTTCATATTAAAGATACTCAGCCTCATTCATTAATTGTTAAATAATTAACGTAGTAATTTAAAACCTAATTCTTTACTACTGGAAGATCTTATATAATGGTCAGCACGAAGTTGAAGTTTACTGGTCAGCAACGCGTGACAAACAGCGGGTTAGGGGTAGAATTGATTTTAGTCAAAGGTGTGCATAAATTTACTTCACCCTCTCTCACCCCACCTCTTTAAAAAAAATTCGGGATCCGCCAATGCGTTAGACTGCTAAAAAAAAGTAGGCTTCCTCAAAATCGGTTTAGAGTAGAGTAAGAGAAGCGTAAAGCGCGAGACTCACGCGCACGTAAGGCGTGTGAGGCGACAGAAAAAAAACCCTCTCCCCAGTCTCGCTCTCCGTTTCAGCTTCTGTTTGACTGTTCGTGTGTAGTTGAATTTACGCAAAAATATGGACTGTTTTGCAGTCTACCAATGCGTTTGATAAAACTAAGCCATTCTACTGTAAGTTCTTCAGTAGAATGCTGAAACTCGGCACGACAGTCTAGGTTCACGGAAGATCTCCGAACACGGAAACAAAGAAAATGACGGGATACCTCAATAGGAATTGTAACCGTCTCGCTTTGTTTATCTTGATGTAAAGCGAAAATGCAAAATGATAATGACTTTCAACATTCCGCAACTTTCTTTTCTCTTCCAGGATATCACAGCTCATCTGATAATGTCACAACGAAGAGCATTTCAAGGAAACTGAAAAGAACTTTTAGCGAAGTTTCAAAAGATACAGAATTAACACGGTGTTCGCGCCTTTCGTAGGAAAAGCGTTTGATAGCCAAAAGCTTAGACTGAGGTAGGATTTTTGTAAAACACACCTTTTCCAAGGAAAAATGAGAGAAATGGATGCGGCATTTCAAGAAAAGAATCAGCTGGGACGAATCTATTGATAGCCGCCCATC